TCCGATCGTAACACCCGCTCGTTCGGACCTCTCGTTCCACCAGGTTATATATGTACCTAACGACATGTAAAGTACGGAGGCGCGCGTAAAACCGAAGTGACGACCCGTCCAGTAAACGATCGGGTCCTCCCCTCGCAGCCGCTCCTTTCCGCGGACTTTCCGCTGCGGATAATGCGCCGGGCCCTTGTTCCGCCGCGATTTATGAGACACGCGGAAGCGTTTCCACCGAAGGTCGGGGCCGCGAAAATCCTCGCCAAGGGTAACCGGGGTCGAGAGTTCGAGTCGACTCCTCGAATCTTCGACTCGAACGTCGAGCTCGTCTCTTTGACCGGCTCTCTTGAAAGTTTTCCAACTTCGAGATTTGTTTTCTTTTCTTTTTTTTTTTTTTTTTCAAGGGGACTTATTTTGGGTCCCGATTCGAAATTCCGCTTTCGGCAAATCTCGCAAATCCACCGGCTTAAGGTGATATGAAATTCTATACTTATCAAAACGTGAAGGTATAAAGCTTTCCTCCAAACTTCCACCGAATTATCTGAAACTCTAACACGTGCATTATGGAGGCCCTAGGTGAAATTACATTTTTCAACGAAAAGACAATTTCCCTTTTGGTTCTTCTTCGAGATAGATACAAATTTTTTTTTTTTCTTCTTGCGAGAAAATGAAATCGCGTTCTTCCTTAGAGTCTCCATGAGTCTCGCGATGAATATTCAAATGATTCGATGCACCCAGTTTGGAGAAAAGTTTTATCAATATTTCTTGACTTTTTGGTACCGTATATATCATACATTCATATCACGTTAAATGCGAAACGACAGGTTGACTCGTATACAGAGAAAAAAAAAGTACTTTGTTACTTAAAAAATAATGACTTCACCCAAACTTGAATTATTACGATTCCGAAGAAAGGTCGCGTTGGATTAATTCGGGTCTATTGAAAATAATTCCGAAATGCATTGAAGTGGTATTTCTTTGGTACTGTTAAGAAAAAGATTTTTCTGGTTCCATGAAATGTTTCTTTTTTCTCTCGGTGTATGAAGGCGTACGAGCCATTAAAGGATGGCTGTCTTTCGCTTTCTTGCCGATGGTATGGGAAAACGAGGAGCAAGAGAGCGCGGCTGATGGGGTGTAATTACTATAACCGTTTAAACGACAGGATATAGATCTGCCGATTAGTCCTTATGGGAGCAACCCTCGAATACCTGTCCAGACCACCTGGATAAGGGAAGTCGAGGCGACGATGCGAAGAATAGGGTATTTAAAACCACGGTAATTGACTGACAAGCTTGCGCACCGATACCGAGTCCATTATCGGAGGCGGTAAATAATTCCGGGTAAATTCAATCGATCTAAATCGATTCCCCGCGATTCCTCGGTAAAAGGAAACAGGCTATCATCGAGTAAGTAAAAAGACCGATTACCGGTAACCACGAGCTAACAAGATTAACGAGTAGTCAGGAAGGAATTAACGTGACGATCATCCGAGCGGCGGCTTCGAGTCCGCCATTCTTGATGATAAAAAAAAAAAAGAAGAGGAATAAATGGTAAATTTCGAATCGAAATATCGAAAGTCGCGACCGTCAGTCCTCTAGGGGATTTCATGCCACGCAAGAGTTTCGGAGAGATTTCTAAGAGAGAGGCGCGACGACCCGGGCGTGTAGGAGAGAAAGTGAAGAAATAAAGGCGAACTCCAGGCGATGTTACTTTTGTATACTTTCATCTTGTTTATTTAATTAAAATTCAGTAGTAATTTAGTTTCTGCCATTCTAATAAAACGTCACCGCTCGCCAGATTCCTCCCTCCTTTGTCCTCCTTTATTTTGCTCCTTTACGTTAATAATAATTAATATTTAATATAATAATATTCGGGGGATCGGGGGGTCGGGAAGATTTCCACGTGTCTATCCTTTCGCCTTTTCTCGCCCCCTCGGCCACCTCCGTCCTAAGGCCGCTCCTTACGAGGGCCGAATCGAGAACCCTTCGCGCGGTCCGCCGATATATCTCGGAGATTTTCCCCAATTCCTCGCAGCTGCCCTCGCTAAATTTCCCCAATTCTCTCGAGCTATTCCGTATCCTTTCGCCTATCGACGGCCCGCTCGCACGGGCGCGACAACTAAGCATGCAAATACCTAGGAAATTCCACGATACCCTATAAGCCCACGAGACGCTCTCGACCAAATTGGAGGCACCGCCACTTCGTCCTAAAATCGCCCTACCGATCTCAAATTTGGCCCTCCGTCGCTCGTAAGGGTTCTTACGCTTTTCCATTTTCCGTTTCCTTTTCCCTTTCGACGGGTCGTATCGGTACCTCCACTTTGGCGCGGTCCCGGTGCTGTACAGGCTTCTAATTTCCGACAACGAGGAACGAGCCGAAAACTTTGCCGCGCAATCTTATCACCTCGTTTATCACCTCCTTTCCTACCCTGCATCATCCTCGTTCGGTTCCTCGCGAGCCGAACCATCGTCTAGGCTCCTCGACTTTTCCGAATTTCGCCCCCCTTGACGCGCAACGTCGATGTCCCTGCCCCCTCGACGCACGTTTCATTAAAATAACAAAAACCAAAGTATAAGCAATAATATTAATAATAACGAACGATTCGAGAAACACGTCGACTTCGTGGACTCGGTGCACCCTCCCCGCAACATCCGACCCCGTTCCCCGGGTCGCGACCCGAAAATCCAGGTGCGACGCGATTTTGAAAATCCAGGTGCGACGCGATTTTGAAAATTTGGAAAATCCAGGTGCCACGCGATTTTGAAAATCCCGACCCGACGGCATTTCCGAAAGTTCCGAGGCGTAGCGATTTCGAAGATTTTGACGATCTCGGTGATTTCGATGATTTAGACGCGACGCGGCTCGATCGCGGAGCGTCACACCGCCGCCGACGACCGGGAGAGATCGCGCTTTCGTCCGGAAGAGTACGGAATAAGGAAATGGCTGTCAGGGCCAGCCGGAAGATCCGCCGTGGCCGCGTCTAGGAATAAATAATAACGCGGAATCGCGTCGTCGCCGCAGGGCGGTGCTATATCACAATCGCCGAGTTGCCGCCGGCGGAAATCGCGACTCGAGACAGAGCGAGGGCGCGGACGACCTCCTAGACCCAACGAACAAAAACGAACAAAGATCAACCAAGAGCACCATTTTGCACTAAATCCGAGGAGAGCGCGACTCGCTCAACTTCCGGCCACCTTCCGCCCGTTTCCGGCCGCGGCGACGGAACGCTCCCACGCGGGGGAAATAGCCGACGTCGAAAAAGGACGAGCGAATGTTTTTTTTTTTTAATTCTGCCTTCCAGGGAAAGTGACTGAAAAAAAAAAAGAGATAATATATGTCAATGAGAAATATCTCCCTTTTTCGACCTCGACCGCGCAAACGGTCCACCTTAGACGGACCCCCCGCTGACTTTCCGAGATCTCGCCCCCGCGACGCCCCGGCTAAACCTACTATGTACAGGAACCCGGACATAAGTCGAGAGGCTATTCACTCGGAAGTCGGTAAAAGCGATTTCTTTCTTCCTTTCCGAAATCGACCGCCTTTGATTGGACACGACAGAGAACGCGATTCGGTGACAAGTGACGTTCGGCCTTACAGTCGTGACATTGTTTCGGGGATTTCCAAGGATTTCCGAGGATCTCCACTGATTACCCTTGATTTTTCTTTCGTATTTCCAGATATCCAGATTTACGCGCGATCTCGAGGAATTAGAGTCAGGACTTCCCGAGTGAACAGCCCCTGGACGAGAGCCTCGCCACCCCCAAACCGCACCGACGACTCGGGGAGAGAAACAAAGTACAATAATACTCGCATCTCGGAAACTAATAATATGCATACAAGAGCGCGATCGCGGAAAGGACGAGGGCGAGACGTGGACGGGAGCGAAGAAAGATGGCGGCCGTCGCCACCGAGAAAGCCGAGAGTCCGTCACAACGGAGACTATTCCCTCGGAAATCAGTGGAAACGATTCCTCTCGACAACCTTTGGCACCATACGACGAACAACAATGCGATTCGCTAACAATTGACGATCGGTCTTAAAATCCCGACAACGCTTCCGTGTTCCCGAACCGTTTCAAGCGACTCTCCATTCGGGATGTTCATCCCCTTTCCACGTGACATCGGGGATTTAAATCCACGATCTGCAGGGTGAATAACCCGAGGGGCTGTTCCCACCAATCATTAAAAACCATTCCCTTTTTCTACAAACTTTTCCCCATTAACTTCATACGACAACCGGCAATGTTAATCCATAACAAATGACGACCTTAAAATCGTTACGGCGTTTCCGTGATTTCCAACAATTTACGGCAATTCTTGTTCTCGATTTCCACGTTACTTCGAGGATACCAAAACCAGGATTTCCAGAGTGAATAACCTCTCTCCATCGCGTCTTCCATATAACGAATAACGAAACGGGGAGGAGGGTCGGCCACCCCCTTGGATCGTCGACGGACGAGTCGTCGGGGGCCGTATTAATAATGTTAATACAATAATATAGAATAATTAATAAACGACGGTAATAACGCGACGATAATAATAGAGTCTACAATCTTTCTCGACGTCTCAGACCGGCCGTCTCTAGCTTTGTCTTCCTTCGCCTGCGCGTGTATACATATATGCATATATATATATATATACTTACTCTTTATACAGAAGGGTTATTTTCGTGGGAGGAAAGTTCGCAGTCGCTAATGTCGCACGTCTCATTCTCTCTGTCGCTCCGACTTGCTGTTCGCCGTTCGCTCGCGCAACGCCGAACCGCAAGTGCGTGTACGTATACGCGAATGTACATATACATATATATATATATGTATACATGTAGGTATTTAAATATACCTCCCTGTGTATATATATATATATATATTCCTTTTTCTTTCCCTTTCGCCTCGTTCCTTGATCCATCCCTCCCGCTCTCTCGCTCTCGCCCTCGTATCGTTGACGCGCGACGACGCATGCTCACTTAACTTACTAGCTTTATCTGGTACATTATTTACAGTCCATATTTACTTATGTTACATCATTCGCGGGTAGTTTGCTCGGGGCAAATTCCGCAGGCTTGCGTATTCCTCCTCCTCGTTCTTTCTCTCTCTTTCTCCCTCTCCGGGTGCGCGTCTCTCCATCTTCCTTCCTCCGGCCTCTCCTTGGTTCGGTGGCTCGTGTCTCTCTCTCTCTCTCTCCCTCCCTCCCTGGATTTCGGGAAACCTTTTCGGTCCTCCTCGTCGCTCCGTCGTCGCTTTCCTCCGTCCGACCCGTTTCTCTTGCGCCGTTGATCCAGCGTTTCGGCCTCGTCTCCCGTCCGCGCCGTCTCTTTCCCTCGCACGGAGCGCAGGGGTGGCGCGACGAGGACGGCGAGCGTGCTCGTCACTCGCGACGGAAATCGGTTTAATTCCACGGCGAACTCGTTTGGTGGTTATCCTTCGGCAGAGGCGGTGATCCCCGATGGTATCAGGCCGGCTCTGGTGCGATCAGGCCCCGGGGCCGGTTATGACTCCATGGACGGGGATGGGCCTGCTCGGCCGTGGTTCTGGTTGGTCCCGACTGCGAGGGCCCCGCCGTGGCGGCCGTTGGCAAAAATCCCAAAGGCAAAGGGGTCCGAATCTCGCGACACCGACGGCGGAACGATCGAATCTATGGGAGCGGCCCTTTTCCCGACAGCCGAGTCTATTAACCGAGTCAAAACGAGGAATCGACGGCCCGCGAACCTCCCGATGGCGGGGTCGAAACGGGGCCCATAGTTGTAGGTAATCGCAACCGTGATTAACACGGGCTTACCCTGGTTGCGAAGGGGTTGGTAATTCGCGACGGCGACTCCGGGTTGCTGCGACCCTCCCGGGATCCTAGCTGGTCCCTGCGATGGCGATTCCCGTTCTTCTCGGACGCGCCACGAGGTTCTCGATGATGCTTCGGACGGTGCGTTTCCCCAAGTGTCCACTGTTCCAGCCACCCCGGTTAACATCCCTCGACATAGGAGAGGCCGTCGCGAGGGAGACGACGCGTCCGCGGAGCTGGTTCCCGTCACGGTAACTCGAGTCCGAGACGAAGATTTGTACCAAGTGGCAACGGTTAGTGGACTCGGCGAGGACGACCCCGGACGCCGGGACTCCGGGCAAGATCTCTATCACGGTCACCAGAGCCGACTTCGAGGTGGAAATTCGAGTCTCGCGACGGCGACGATGGTCCGTCTCCAGAGGTCGCCACTCCTTCCTAGGAACACGAGCCGATCCCTGGGTGGCGGTTCCTATCCGGCACCAAAAGTCCGCAACATTCGGATCCTACCCGCGTCGCGGTCGCAAGGAGGACGCAAGATGAAGAGTCACAACGGATAGCGCGGTATCCGCCTCCGGACGCGGCCCATCGAGTCGCCGCGACGGCGCACCAGGTCCATCCAGAGTCTGGGACCCACCAACAACGTAACGGAAATCTATCGCTATCTCCGGGTCAGCCGTTGAACTCAGGACGTGGGGTCCCGGTCGCCGGCGCAAGGTTTTGGATGGAGCGGTTCCTGGAGCGAGCCCGGTCACGGTCACCGGATCCGCGTCCGGGTTAAAGTCCGACGATTCTCGCCGGAGAGAGCTTTGGAACGTGGAGGAGGTCCCCCGCGATTCGCGTCGGGCGCCTCGGGGACCCACGGTGGTCCCCGGGTGGAGCCCGAAGTCAGCCCCGAAAACTCGCGACGGGTTCCGCCGATGTCGCCGAGGACACCGGCCGTCGGCAGCCTCCCCAAGTCGCGGCGGCCGCGGCGTGGCCTCGCTCGGACCCCGCAAGGCCCCCGGCCGAGGACGAGTCCGTCAGCTAGGAGGTCGAGTAACTGGCCCTGGCCTGTATGTAGTGGTGGTAGGAAAGGGTCGGAAATCCTTCCGCAGCGACGGCGGCGGCGGCGGCGGCTGCGGCGGCTGCGGAGGAGTTAGCTTGCGAGGTGATGGCGAGGCCTAACGGGGGAGGCCCCGGCGAACGCTAGTGCGCCGCCAGAGAGTGTGCCGTGAGTCCTTGCGGGCTCAGCATGGGGGGGCTATGGCTGTGCCCCATGGGCGAGCCGTGGAGATGGTCCTGGGGATGGTAGCCCTGGTGGAGGCCGGCCTGGCCCTGATGGCCCGGCGGCATGCCCTCCATCATCCCGTCGCCCAGGGTGTTGGGGGGCGTCATGCGCTTCTCCTTCTGCCGCCGGTTGCAGAACCACACTCGCACCACTTCCTTCTCCAGCTGGAGGCTGTCCGCCAGCGAAGTGATCTCCTGGGCGGAGGGCTTCGGCTGCTTGTGGAAGTGCTGCTCCAGGGCGCCCTTGACGGACACCTCGATCGACGTGCGCTTTTTCCGCTTCCTCCCCTGGGCGGCGATCTTGTCGATGCTCGTCGGCGAGCCCGTGGTCGAGTCGGCTTCCTCGAGCCACTTCTGCAGGAGGGGCTTCAGCTTGCACATGTTCTTGAAGGAGAGCTGGAGCGCCTCGAACCTGCATATCGTCGTCTGGGAGAAGACGTTCCCGTAGAGGGTGCCCAGGGCCAGACCCACGTCGGCCTGGGTGAAGCCCAGCTTGATGCGCCTCTGCTTGAACTGCTTCGCGAAGGCCTCCAGGTCGTCGGACGTCGGCGTGTCCTCCTCCCCGGCGCTGTGGTCCCTGTCCAGCGGGTGGCCCGGGTGCAGCGGGTGGCCCGCCGGCGGGCTGTGGTTGTGCGCGTCCCTCAGGTGGTGCGGCAGCCCCGCCTGGTGATTGTGCAGCTGGTGCGGGTGCTGGTGCGGGTGCTGGTGCAGCATCCCGTTCATCGCCGCGTGGTACTGCTGCAGCGTCGTCGGCGAGGCGGCGCCGCCGCTGGGGTTGTAGTGGGCGGACGGCACCACGGGCGCGTGCCACGAATGGGGCGACGCCATCCCGGGGGACTGATGAGGTCCGCGGTGGTGCATACCCTGGACCGAGTCCGTCGCCGTGGCCGCCGCCGCGGCCGTCAGCGGCTTCACGTCCAGACTCGCGTTCCCCTGGTGCGGGTGATGGTGCGGATGGTGGGTCGTGTGGTGCATCCCCATGGACGCCGCCCAGGGGTCGCTGCCCGGCTGCAGGCTCACCCAGGGGTTCGCCGAGGACAGGCTCGCCGGGTGCGAGAGCCCGTTCGGCGACGGCGACGACGACACCTGATGGTGGTGGTGGTGATGGTGATGGTGCTGCGGAGCCGGCATGTACTTCATCTCGCCGGCGTCCGCCGCGCTGCGGGGCGAGCCCGAGGAGTAGCCGCCCACGGCGATGTTCATCCCGATTCCGGATCCCGAACCACCATCCAGCTCGGACGACACCGCGGTACTAACCGGCATGTACGTGGTAGCAGCCATTTACTCCCTGGCGGTACCCCCGGATCTCGCGATTCCGGGCCCGGTCCGGCGCCTCGGCCCTCTCGACGGCTTCCCGGACGCCTCTGTCCCTCCCGACTCGAGAGCTCGGGGCTACGGGTGGCTCCCGTCGAACCCTCTCAGGCCCTCTTCCGCGACGAGTCCCGCTGGCCGCGGGCCGCGCCTCTTGTCCTCTCGACTCCCGGGTACCCGGTCTCACTGTCCATCGTCCCGGAGCCCCCGATCGCGCGGGTCGCGGCCCTACATCCGGCCCGCGCTGCAGCGCGCGCGCGCGCGCCTCCACGCACCGGTCGACCGCCGACCGGACCACCGACCGGACCACCGGGATCCCGGTCTCTCCGCACTCGGGCCGCGCTGCTCCTCTCCTCTCTCTCACCACCTCGGCTCCACCTTACCGCGCGAACTCACTCTCGTCCACCGCGGAACTCCGCGCTCGTTGCACTGGCCGCGTCGACGTCGAGCCACCACCCGGGAGCGCCGATCGCGATCGCGTCCACGGGGCCGCGACGGCTGCCACGACCCGCCGCGCGAGCGAGAAAACCACGCGGATACCCGGGGGAAAGAGAGAGAAGGAGAGAGAGGAAAGATCGGCTGGCTCTCATGCGTTATGCATGTCGTAGCTGAGAGCGACTGACTGCCTCGCCTCGCAGCTAGCCCGAGCTTCCCGACTTCCAGAGGCCCCGAGGTCGTCATGCGCGCCTCCACCGACTCCGGACCCCACCAGAACCGAGCCGCGCTCCCCATTGGCCGGCCCGGCAAGGTGGCCGTCGGCGCCACGTCACCGGAGGGCGGACCCAACCGTGGCCGCACCCTGTCGAGCTCCCTGCCGAGGTTCCTGCCGCACCGCTCGCTTTTTGCCCCTCGCTCGCTTTTCCCGCCGCCGACCGCGACCGCCGGCCGACTGCCTCCGGCACGCCGCCGCCGACCCCGGCCCGACTGCGGCCTCCGCTCTCCGTCCCATGCGACGCCTTTCTCGAGATTCCACCCGAGAGTCTCTAACTTTTAACATCTCCGGGATGTTCTTTTCCAGCAGTAGTCCCTACTGGTACAAGTGACGGCATTCGAATTACGGAATAGGACCGGACGTGGCGGTCGGTATCGGAATTATCCGGTCATCCGGGGAATCGAAGAAGGCAGGTCGAGAGGTCGAATGGAAATCTGGGCCGAATACGAGGGGAGAGCTGTGATACGAGCCGATAACCGGCCCGCGGAGGACCCGTCGGTTGTCCAATCAGGCCGCGAACAAAGTTAGCGGCGGTTTTATTTCCGGACACGGTTTCATCGGGTGGATCGACGCGGATCGAAAGGGTCGCCGGGCCAGGGGGGCGACTCCCTCGGGACCGCTGTCGGGCATGCAGATTGGCTCGATCCGGCCTCGACCTCTTCAGGAATTCCGCGGGTGCTCCCGAGCAATTCGCCGAGGTGTCCGCGCAACAGGTACTCATTCCGGTGATTAATTGCCGGCTGAGCAGTAGCAGCGGCATCAATAGAAACGGCCAAATAAAAAACTTGTCTCGTCCGGCGGTACCGAGAGAGAGGGAGAGACGGTCGAGCGGAGGGCATGGAGCGAGAGGGAAGCTTGCTACATTTAAATGAGAGCCACAGGTAGCAGCATTATGCGGTACGTGCCAGCCATCCCCTCCTATCCCCCAGGAGGGGGCGAGTTAGACGATCGCGCACCTACCGGTGCTACCTTGTACCAAACCGACCTACCCCTCTTCCGGCCGATCCATGGATCGCCGTGGATCCAGGAAGTTCGTCTCCTGCCCCGGCCGGTCACCAAAAACACAATCAACCCCCGATAAATAGCCGAGAAAAAAAAAAGAAACTCGTTAAACCAAAGGAACATTTCTTCAAACGGTACCGAAGAAATGTCTCTTCAATTCCAATACTATGTTGCTCGAATAATCTCAGAGACTTAAGGGGATGTGAAAGTGGCATCCGAAAGCTCAATCGTTCATAAAACTTTCCTACGAACTGGGTGTCTCAAATCGATTCATACTTTAAAACGTGAATACGGAGACCCCAAGGTAGGTCCTGAAACTCGGGAAATTTCATTTTTTATAAACTATTTCTAAAATACCTATAAACAAATTTGAAAAGAATTGAAATTTCATGAGTTTCAGGACCTTCCTTATAGTCTCCCCATTCACGTTGCAAAGTTTCAAACTATTCGGTAAATCGAGTTGGGAGAAAAGTTTAATAAACAAAGCCTCTTCGATGTCACTTTCACGTCACCTTAAAGTGACGCGTAAAATCGGCGTTTCTTGTAAATGTACATTTAATGTTGAGAAAGAAAAAAACCCTGGGTGGGTGAACGTTTAATTTGGAATTAAACTAGATTTACGTGGACGAAACGTGGATGCCAATGTTTTGTGGCCATTAGGCGTTGCTTCGTTTCTTCGTTTAGGGGATGCTTTTCCTTCCGTCGCGTTCCCATGAAATCGGATTAATTGGATCGGATCTAGAACATGCTGAGATCTGAACTGCGGAATAAAAAGGGTCGCGTGAAAAGTTACGAAGCCGCGATCTGAAAAACTTAGCGCCAAGGTGTCGGATTTAAGTGCATTGTATAATGCAGCTTTTCTCCATACATTTGCATTAATGCGCGTAAATAGAAACTATCGTGGACCTAGTTAGACGATCGCGTGCCTATTGTACTAATACCCCCCCCCCCCTCCCTGCTTTTGATTATGCCGATTCATAAATCACTCAGTTAAGGCCGAGTGGTATAATTTCATATCTCACATGTAAAATAGCAATTTTCCATTGTGTTTCGTGCAGTCTCATTGTGTGCACCGTGGAATACGGATGTATAACACCGGAGAGGGATGAATCGGACCATTGCGCGCAAATAGTTTGTTCTTACGTCTCGCATGCTAAGGAGCGATATTTTATTTAACCGTATGCACCTCTGGCCATGGGAAATACATCACGGAGCAGTGAATTAGACATTTGCATTAATTAATCCACCGATTCATGGATCGAATCGGCGCTATATGAGAGGATAAAAAAATCACCACGGGCATAACTCGTCCTTAAGGGCGAACGATACCTCCTAGAGCACAAAATATTTCTCCTATATTTTCTATATATTTAACGAATATCCTACATTTTTTTAATATTTAACAGACATTTGACATATTTGCAAAACGTTCACTTTAGAATATTATCTCTATAATACTTATATAATATTAGCTCCATGTGTTTTCATAATATTTCTCCACCAGATATACGTAACATTTCGTTTCTCTTTAATACATGTTTTTTTTTTCTAACATTATCTACCGAATATATTATAAAGGGTTTAACAATATTTAAAATCAAAATCACGCGCTTTGCTCCCATAATGAATTAGCGGAACGAAAATATTACAAAATTTTCTCGTGTTTTCTCATACCAAAAATAAAGTGTCCATTTTTATCATGTTCATAAGTTAAGAAATATAATTTCTACATATGTCTATAAATTATTAAAGTCTAGTCTCTCCCTTCTCCCGAATCGATCTTAAATATCGAACACCCCGTTTGGTTAGACGTTGTTTCGTCGTTCTCGCATTGGACGTGTCTTCAACTCGATTTCTCGAGCCCCGTCGCATCGAATCGAATCGACAAAGCCCTAAAATGTCCACCGAGGACGTACAAAAAAATTAACTTTTAATATTAATTGCGTCAACACTCGACTGCCATAATTCCAAAATACAAAAATATTCCAGTACAATGTTCCACGAAATGAATACAAAGAAATCAGCTGATCGAAATCCTTCTCCGGAAGACATACCGCGCACGGGAGTACTCCAGTAAAACAAGGCGTGAGAATGAAAATTCACCAAAAAGATATTTCGTCAATAATTTCCCTAAAATGAAGTTAAATAAACTGTCGCAATGAAAGATGAAACGTTGCGTGGAATTTCATTCGAGTTCGTTGGAGTGAAATAATTCTCCTTAGAATTAATAAAATATTTCTCTGGTTCGATGTAACCCCTTTTCCTCGGTGTATGTACATTTACATGTGCCTCGGAACTGTTACGTCGGTATACGGGGAAATCGGATCGGGTTAAGAGAACGGTCCGGAATATTTGTTTAGGTCCGACAGGTAGCAGTTATTATACACGCAGCCGTATAGGTGCGAAAGTGCGGGACGGTGCCAGCTGCTCGGAGGGCGCATTTCGGAACGGCCTTAAGGACGGCGCGCGCACTTTTGCCGGCGGTCGTCGGCTCGAAACGCACTTTACTACCTGAACGTTTGCTTGCATAATTTAAAGGCCCGACCCGGCCCGGGCCGGCTCTCTTCCTCTATTTCGCTCCCCCGAACACGTGTACCCTTGCACCCTCTGCACCTTGTGGCGCTCTTGGGACCTCAGGGTACGAAAACATTAGTCAAAAACGCTCTCGAGACCTGCCGGGTCCTCTCCTCGAGAGAGAGAAAGAGAGAGAGAGCCACGAGAGGCGCCTTCTAGAATTTCAAAAAAGAAATGGAGAAATCGGAAAAGAAAATCTGCGTACTCCATGGCTTGAGTGAGTGACTCCATGGCATGAGTTGTGAAAAAAAAAAAATGTTAAGGAAAATAAGGGGAGCCATGTACCTTTGGGAAGAGGACCCCCTGAGTAGAAAAGTCCGTTCTTAATTTAGAGGTTAGATTGGAAGTTCGAGGGAACTCGGATAGGATCCTACGGGGTGGCCCGAAAACTTAGTAAACCGGGTATTTAGAACGTGGCGTAGGTCGGGGCAAGGTACCCATAAAAACCTGCCGTACGTGAATGGGGAGTTAACCGTTGTAATTTGACCGCCTTTATGCCTGGAATGAATATTTTAATATTTTAATACGAAATATGCTATGAGAGATTTTATGGTGCCCTATAGCTTTTCCCTATTGTAGGTGCCTCTCTCGGTTCTCCGTTGCCCTCTCCGTCTGGCAGTCGCGAGCTTCCTGCTCCCCACTCCCGACCCCGAACTCCCCACTCCCGCGCCCGAGAGTGGAATGGCAAGAAACGCGCGCGATTCACAACACGGCGCGAGGGAAGAGGCAGTGGTGGGGGTCAGGCGGAGGAGTGGGGGAACGGCGCCGAGGGAGGGCCGCCGAGGTGGTGGGGGAAGAGCTTATAAGCGGGAGAGGGGGCAGAGCGCCCGCTAGTACGCGGCTTCGCCGCCAGGCGGCAGCAGCGGATGGCAGTGGAGCAGTTATTTTCCGCCACCCCTAAAAGATCGGTCTCGGTTTCCCTCGGAATTATTGTCCGAGAGGGCGCATGGCACGGTGGCGCCATCTGTCGGTACAAGGAGGAACCGCGCATAGACGCATCGCTCGGTTTGCTCCTCCCTTCGTAACCTTACCTCAAATTGAATGTGACAATTATTTTCAGATTTTCAGACTTTCAAATGCAGAATGGAGAAGAAGAATCGGTGCGATGGGAAGCTTGCGGTTGAATTTACAATTACGCGTAACTGAAAATCTTAATTATTATCATTCACTGGTTAAATAAATATTTGCGGAAGGATCGAACCGTGGTTCTTATTGTATCCCCGATGGATAGAAACTACGTTTGTCAAGGAACTACCCGAACTAGCGAGGAATTTGTAAAGCGTCCAAGTTACCCCCGGAAACTGCGGTTCCGGAGCATCTACGAGGCCTAACTCGGCTCGCCGCATTCGTTA